ATCTGGTATGGAATATATATACTAGTATGTATATATATATATTTATGTTATATTAGTTGTAATATTTTATACATATATATTATATATATAATATATATTATATATTAGTATCGATGGATTATCTATAGTTTATATATATATATAATAATATTAATTCTTATATATATATATATAGTTCAATATATAATAGGTTTGTATATATATATTTATATATATGAATATATATATGAATATATATAATATAATCATATATATAATATTATATGTTATTATAGCTAATATATATATATATATATATATATAATATATTTACATGTTATATATATATATATACATATAATACACTATACATATATCATATTAATTAATTATACTATACAAATTGTTATATGATTTAATTATTATATATATATATCATATTATATAATTATATATACTATATATATATAAATTATATATATATATTTTGTGTATATACATATATTGTACATATACTACATAACTATATATTATGGTTTATTATAGTATATAGATATTGTCATAATATATAGTATAGTATAATGTATTTATATATATACTATGTTATACACACAGATCTATTCTATGCACCACACAGTAGTACCATATATATATATATATATAAATAATTAATAGTATTATATAGTTATATTATTAATATTATATAGTATATTATATTGTATATATATATTATAATATATAGTATAGTTACTATATATATTATAGTGTAATATATTATATATATTATATATTATATATTATATATTATGCATATATAGTATTTGTATTATAATATATAAATTATTATATGTGTTTATTTATAGTATATAATACATATATATAGTTAATATTAAATAATTATATTTTTATAATACATATATATTATTATATATTATATTTATTATATTTAATATTATAATGATATATATATATTAAATATTATAATATAATCTTAGTCTATCTATATATATTATTATTAATATAGTACGATAGATAGATATATTAATATATATATTTATATATATATTATATATATAATATAGTATTTATATAATATTATATATATATATAGTATATAATAAATCATATATATGATAATACATTTTACATATAACATGTACTACCAATAAATATAATAATATACATTATATACATAATACACACACACACATTATATATATATATATATATATATATAATAATATACATATTACATATATATATAATATATATATATAATATGTAATTATATAATATATATTATATATATATATATATATATATGCATATATAGCATATATAATATATTTTACAAACATAGAGATACAGAAAAAAAAAACTTATTATGTTGTTGTATATATATATATAATATATATATATATATATATATATATTATGTATGTATTGTATGTATGTATATATATTATATAAGCATATATATATATATATATATTATATTATGTATGTATATATTATATTATATATGCATATATGCGTGAATAACTATATTATATATATATATATAATATATATTATATATATAAATATATATACATATAGTTATATATATATATTATATATAGACATATTTATAGATATATATATATATATATATTATATATTATATATATATATTTATATAATATTATATATTATAATATTACAATATATATATATGTTAATATATATATATATAATATATATATATACTTTATATATTATGATACTATATAATATATATTAAATATTATTATGTATATTTATATCAAATGTATGCTATTATGTATGTTTATATATTATTATATAGTATATATCTATTATATTATCTAGTAATGTATAATATCATTATGTATATACATATATAATGTTGGTATACATATATATACTATATATATTTAATTATATATTAACATATATATTTGTATTATATATATAGATATTATTTGTGTATAAATATATATATGTATATATGATATTATGTATATATTATATATCTATATATATACTTGTTACATATATATTACATATCATATATATACTACTATATGATATTCATATATATTATATATTATTATATATTATATACTATTATAACTATATTGTACGTATATATATCATATATTACATATACATAATATATTATATAGTTATATACATACATATATATATATAGCCATATACTACATACATACTTATTATATATAATTATATATATACATATATCATACATATATATATATAATATATATAATATAGATACTATATATTATATGTATTTATATATATTATTTATGTAGATAGGATGTATTATTAAGTTATATTATAAGTATATATATGTATGTATATGTGTTAGATTAATGTATGTATATGTATATATAATTAATGTATGTATATAGTATATACTGTATACTAATTACATATATATTATATATTATAATTATTATTTTGTATATGTTATATGTATGTATATGTTTATGTTATGTATTATTTGTAGTATATATCATATATTAATATTAATATATATATACTTTATATATATATATTTATATATATATATATATAACTATATTATATTATAATAGTATATTTAATTGTATATAGTATAATCATACATATTATAATAGTTGTATATTATTATTATTGTATAGTGTATAGTATATATAGTGTGTGTGTATATAATTATATATACTATATATATGTATTGTATTACACTATATATAATTGTATATAATATATAGTATATATATAGTATATATATTAGTATGTTGAACATCTTATATTATATATTCTATATATATATAATATGATATATTATTGATATTATTTATATTACATGCTACAATATATTTACGTATTAATCATATATATTATATATATATTATATATTATATTATATATAGTATATATTATATACAACTTATATACATATATATACATATATAATATATATAATATATTATACTATATATATATAACATATTATATTATAATATTATATATACATATATTATATATTGAATTATATATTAAAATATATAATATATATATATTATATATATTGTATATATATATGTATATATATGATATATACATATATACTATGAATATATATATATTTATATATTATATATGTATAATATATCTTCATAGATATATATGTGTATATATAATATAATATATAATATATTATATACTGTGTGTATATTATTGTATTATATATATATATATGTATAATATATACATAGATATATATGTTATATATGTATATTATATATATATATGTATTATGTATATATAATATTGTATATTATATGTATATATATTTATGTATAATATATGACATATATATATAGCTATATATACATATATATATATATATATATATATACATATACATACATCATACTATATATATATATATATATATATATAATATATGTATGTTTATTATATATTATATATTATACATATATATATATTATATATATATATATATATATATGATATATATATATGTATATATATATATATATATATATATATATATATTATATATATATATATATAATATATACATATATATATGTATATATATTGTATATATATATATATGATATATATGATATATATGTATATATATATATATTATATTAATATATATATATATATATATATATATATATATATATATATATACATATATATATATATATATATATATATATATATATAATAGTATATATATATTATATTATGTATATTATTATATTATATATATATATTATATATATATGTATATATATATATATATATATATATATATATATATATATATATATATATATATATGGTGTTGTGTGTGTGTGTGTGTGTGTGTGTGTTGTGTGGTGTGTGTGTGTGTGTGTGTGTGTGTGTGTATGTGTGTGTATACGTATATATATGATGCACGTATGTACGATATATCTCACACAAACGTATTTTCATGTTCCAAAATGTCAGTATGGATCTATGACCCCACTTATGCAAATGAGACGCACCGTAGCCGTGTCTGTGCGTAATTTACGTTTAAAACAGAATTTGGGTCGCCGTAAAGAGGCCCTTCGAGGGTGACCAGAGGAGGCCCAAGTGGACAGATCTGCCATTTGTTTGTTTTCTATTTTACTTTTGGACGGTTGTTGAGTCATGTTTAGAGGAAAGATGCTGGTTTTTAGGAAGGGGTTGGACTATAGACTGATAGACGATGCGTGAGAAATTCGGGTTGTCTTGAACTATAGGTTTTAAAACATATGCCAGGAATGCCGCTTCTATAGTGTCTTTTCAGTGGTACCCATATCCCTGTGAAGTGTTTTATTAATGTTGTAGTTTATCGATATTTATGTGGATAACTTATTAGATTATAATTCATATTACTTTATATATTTATTTTTTTTGTTTTCATGGGAAATTGTGGAATATTAAAATTGATCTAGTTGTTACACTTGGCGTAATACAGATAAGGTTGTTCGTACCAGCATTTTCAGGATAAAGCACGATGTATTGGTAACAGAGCGTTTTAATGATGAAAAAATAAAGTATATGATAATAGCCTCCTCAGATAAAGCATTTCGATGAATGAACAGAAAATGTCGATTTTTTCAGGACAAAAAACAAGGCCTACCTCGTCCGTATATTTTCCCACATTAAACCTTTAAAATTACACTTTATTGATATTATATCCCTAAATACACAAAAACGACCTACTTAAAGTCTCTAAAAAAGAAATTCCATCCATAATTCCGGGTAACCAACCCCACACCCCCAACCTATACACCTATACCTCTATCTACACCAACACCTAAAAACAGCAAACCTATCAAAAAGGCTAAACCTCAATTCAGAATAAGAAAAACAACCCCGTTTACCCCCTTAAACCCCCCCTCTTGCTCCCACAATCCTCCTTTCCCCTCGCCACCACTCCAAATTCCCGCAAAACGCGCCGGGGGTGGAGCCCGAGAGCCAGGGAGGCGCGAGGAGATCCGAGTGCGACTGAAAATCCCGAGTTCAATTTGAAAGGAAGAGGCCGAGAGAACTGACACGTTGAACACCGGCTCTGTGCTTTAATAGTATTTCTCGCGTGCTTGCTTGCTTGAGGTCCTGGTGAGTGGCTTTTTATACAAGGGAGATGCAGTGAGCTTGTCTCTTTTTTTAAATCCGTGTGTAATTTTGTTTTTCCGAAGGATTAGGAGGATATTTAAGTTTTTTTTTAAGGAAATGGAGATATTTGATTCTCTTCGGCGTGTTTGTTGAAGAGGGTTGATTTTTTTTTTTTAATTCTAATATTCCATTCTACTCGCATGATTCTTAATGTCCTCGGTCTTATTTCGTATTTTCTTTATCGCCATGTACTTTTCGGATGTTATTTCTCGCGGAAATGTTGGATGAGCTTTGAAAACCGTTAACATATGAAGCAGCTCTGGAAGGTCGACATTTTTTTTTTTTTTTTTTTTTTTGCCTGGAGAATCCTTATTAAGAAAATATATCGTGTAATCGGTTTGCAGCGAGTCTGATGGGCGCAGGCAATGTATAAGATAGAGAAAGGGCAAAATAAGGGTGAATAATGAACGGACAGACGAATTTGAAGGAAATATAGGGAGAGACACGTGTTTTTTTTGGCAAGCACGTGTGGGTGGTTTTGGGGAAATGTTTTGGCCCTTGCTGGTTGTCTCTCTCTCTTGGGGAGTTGTTCAGTGCTGCCTTTGGTATTCTTCTCTTTTAGTGTTTGTTTCAAGAGAATTAAAGGATGCTTGAGGTAATATGGATTTATTGCAGGTGACTTTCTACCAAAGGTGTCCACAAGGTTTATTAACAGATGTTTGATTATTTTTTTTTATTTTGTATCTGGAGTCTTTATCCTCCTCTTCAGTTGCTTTTGTTTTGGGATGTGCAGCAAGGTGAAATTAAAGGAAGAGAAAAAGTGATGAGTCATTTGGCTAAATTTTCCCATGGGTGAGTGATTTTTGTCACAGCAGGCAAAGGCAAGACCATATGGCCCCGTGTGTTTGCTTTTGATCCAGTGACCGGGTTTTCAGACTTATGGGATGTACTGGTGACCTTGCCATCGTGATCTGTGGGTGGCCATTGTCCAAGAAGGTCTTCTCCATTTAGCTACCCCTGCAGAGGATGGAACAGACAAAATGGACTTGTGTTCTCTATTGTCATTCTATGAATATTTTTTCATGCTTTAAGATTTGTAAGAGCGTTATGTATCTCAGTATTACTTTTCGCCATTGCCACTGGCCTGTGTGGCCTCGGAACCTATTAGCGCTCCGACAGAGACGAACAGACCTCGGCAAGGTGGAGCTTTTAAACCTCCAAAGCAATTTATGATAAAATAAGGAACTGATTAAATTTCTTTCTGAAGAAGGGAGCACATTGGCTATTGTTACACACAACAGGTGCAGATTTGTGGATTAATAAGCTAATTAGCATTTGATAATTTTATAGCTAGAATTAACATGTTCCTGTTTTCCACCATTAGCTACGAATTTCAAGCTATTTTCGTGAAATTTTACCACCTGTTTGAATTGCTCTCCTCGTGTCAGGTCTTTTGGTAATTTTTCGGAATGCTTTTGTATAACCAACTGTGATGGTTTTGGTATCAGGGCCAAGATTATGGCTTATGGGGGAGGTGGGTTCTGGCATAATTTCAATATATTTGGATTGTAGAGCAAGAGGAATCCATTGATACCTAAACTGTTGCAGTTGGAAGGTATTCCAGAAATTGTCCTTATTTCCCTTGTTTTTTACATATCTTCCAGAAGTGATTCTACTATGTTAAGTCTTTAATCAAGGTTTACTAAGTCTGATATAACTTGGAGTAGGATTTAAGTGTTAAATTGTTAAATCAGAATATTTGCTGAAACCCACTCTATTTTAAATGCGGAGTCTTGTACATATGCCACTTGTTGCATATTTAGTTATGGTAATTGTTACACAGAGCGACACACCCTCGAAAAAAAATTGATGTTTTTCTGCTTGAAATCCTCTGAATTCATCGATTTTCGGCGTTGTTTCTTCTGCAAATGAATCGTTTAGGAAATTGAGTACCATTTCTCCATTAATGATCTTGATTTAATAGTCCTGTTAGCAGGGGAGGGCATGAAGTATATCGGGAAATTATGGTGTAAAACAGACTTAAATAAGAATAACATTATTAAAAAATGCGTAAAACTAGCACACAAAAAATGCTTAAGATCGGCCAATGAAACTCTACGGATGACTTGCCAGAAATCAAAAACTTTACTGGAACCAGACCGACCTTTCATCAAAACTATGGGAATTCAACAACCTAATATATCAATATAAATTGTCGTGACTTGGTGTGCCCTCCCGTGGGGAGGGTTGATGGGGTTCAAGCCCCCAACGCCCCCCAGGACACATTCTCTCCACCACTGTATGTACTGCAAGATAGAGCTGCATTCACACCGTAAACTAATAAAACAAATACCTTTATATCCGGAGAATTCAAACTTTTGTCGTTTCTTTGTACCATCGGGATTGCTTCGATTTTAATCACCTCTTTCGTCATTTGGAGCTCTTGATGGGCTCAGATATAAAACTAGGATGGTTACTAAAGTCTAATTATTCTTTGATGCAACTGTTTCTTGGTTATCAACTTGAGTTGGTAGTATGTTGTTGAAAAGGATCACAGGATTAGCGTCTTGATTGGTTAGGTCCATCTCGTGGTTTAGCTGACACTGATTTCTCAAAGGTTCTGTAAAGAAAACATCAACTTTTTTTCAACAGATTGTTAGCAATTGTTTATCCATTTTGGTAGATTTCAAGTTTAATATTGGGAGACTATTTATTGGTAATGGAACATATTATGTTCATGATTTTTATTGTGGCAATGTAACAGGAGCACATATATTGTGTATTTTCTCGTGAAGGACGCTGTCTTTTAGTAGATTTTTTCATTTCGGCCATATGGATGAGACTGAAATGGATTGTTTTTACCCCCAATACCATGTGTATCATAATTGTGGCATTCTACAAACTGTCAAATAGTTGGTTATTTTTCCTGTGTTATTTATAAGATGTATGTAGTGTCAGTTGATGTATTTGCTCCAATCATGCTATGCAAACATCTGTTCCTGAAATCTGAAAAAGGGATGTTAATATCTTCACCCAATAAGGACAGAAAACATCTGTTCTAGCTATGATGAATTGAGCCAGAATGTCGTATGAGAAGTGTCTATACCACACGTGGGGAACCCTGCTCTTAAGTTGTTTGCACTTCATGTTGTTTCCTTGTTTGCTCACTTGTGTATATGGTCTCTTAGCCTCATTTCAAGGAGAGTAGCCTACCACAGCCAAAAATATGGGAGTAAATTTTTCTTACATTTCTAAATTTTCACTCAAGTGGGTAGCTTACACATGCTACCCAGCTGACTGGCAAATTGTTTTCCTGCCATGTTATAGTATGAATGGGATTTATGGCAAAACTAGCAGCTTTGGTATATTTTTAACATCACTAGGCCTTATCCTATGTGTGAGCTGCTTTCCCTCTCATCCAGCTATCCTCCTATACCCTTCACTGCTCCCACTGTCCCCTTCCTCATAGTGTGGCTGAACGACTTAACGCTGTTTTATCACTGTGTACTGCAGATTTGCATAAATGTTTGAACTTATTACTACGAGTCATGATAAATGATATATATACCCTTTTTTCCACACATTGGGGTTAACATTTTCAGCATTGATGCGTGTTTGTTCAGTTACTGTTTGACATACCAGCAACAGCCACACATATTCTGGTGTGCAAGATAAAGGTCTCCACATACATAATTACCAAATTTGTAGAATTTAGGGTTTTTAAGTTCATTGACCAATTATAATATTACTGCCATGGCATTATATACTCTGGACTTCAGTATCCACTGTGGTCTTGCAGTCTGACTTGTAAAGGGTAAATGATGTTTATATGATTCTTTTTAAATCTTATTTAACCCCAACTTACCTGTTGTAAGGAATTGGTACTCCTTGCTCCAGGCCTAGAAAATGATAGCAGGAAATTTTGATGTGTATTATGTGGTTACTGTTTAAGGAAGAATCATAGTATTTACCTTTCTAATCCAAAGAAAATGCAAATGGAAGAAAAAACTGTTAATGATAGTATTCATTGTTCATTTATTTTTATTCGTGTTTGGTTTTTAGATATGTTCTTTTTGTTGTAAAAATGTTGTTTTATTAGACTGTTGAGCTTAGTTTTCACATTTTATTTTCAGAAGACAAAATGGAGGATTCTGGACGAGATGATTGGGGAGGTGAGAGCGAGCAGGATGGTGAGTCTGTTTGTATTGAAAGGGTTTTCTCTCTTGTTCTGATCGTAACGTGAAGTTGGCATTGGCGGATTGCGTGGCTCCGAAGATGGCGGAACTAAGGCGGCGTAAACTGTCAAGACTGTCAAACACAGCTGAACAAAAGATGAGATGCCAAGAGTAGCTGGCTTGTCTTGATAGAAAAAGAAATTGGTTGGATTTGGTTTGGTAGACCACTTGACGAGGTTGGAGGAATGTCTGCTTGCAAGAACACGGTCTCTTATATTATTTGTCCTGGAACATTACTTTAACTCTGTGCTGTTTTATTAATTGTCCTTGGAATAAGTAAGCTTTGAAAATGGATGTCTATTCATCAAAATCAGAACTAAGAAAAAAAAAAATGAATACAAGTGTTGGAAAGGTTTTGTGACAAGTAATGTAGTATCCTGTTTTATCTTTAAGGCATGTATTCAGATCTAGCTAAGTAGTGTTGGTGGAATTGGGTTGTAGTTTTACTTGAAGCATGTGATGTCTTAGTTCACTAATCAGGCCACATTTTGGTTCAGCATACTCAAGGAAGGAAATTTGACATATGGTGTTTGATAGATGTAAATTATTCACTTTGAACTTTTTGAATAACAATGAAAACCATGTGATACATTGAAAAATTCATGGCAATCTGAGAAATCATAGTACTTATAACTTCAATTCAAGTTGTAAGGATGATAGACAATTAAATTTAAAATAACTTCTCATTCAATCTGGGAACTTGACAGAATTCACCTTCCAATTTCAGACTAATTGTTCATTCATCCAGCCTCTGGGTTTGAAGGCTTGACATCAGCTTTGTCACTTACCCATTTGGACAGGCAGGTAATACATAAAATTAGCTCAAATGGAGTTTTCAGTTGCCTTGTAAGCTTCTTTTAAACACACTTTCATTGTTGGAATTTTTGCTTTTGTGGTTCGTTGTTTGGAAAGCGTAATTTTTATGTAATTTCTAATCTATTAAATGTAAATTACCTCTAACGTTATGATGAGCATTTGGTGTAAAACCTAGGGGTCTGTAGCCTTTTCTAGATTTTTTATTAAATTCTGGTTTCTAAATAACTCCTTGCACCTGAAACACAGGCAATTTTGTGGCATGTGTGTTAACCTTGGGTTTGTGTTCTTGGTTTGGCATCACCATTCCATTTCAGTTTTATTCGTTGGTAGGTGACAATATTAACCCTTTTAGATTAAGATCCCTTTAAAAGGACATTTGGGTTCGGTTGAGCCAAGAGGGTAGCACTGGTCCAGTATTGCTGAAAGAGGAAAATTCATGAAGTTTTAGTTAGAAATGTTCCTGACCTCATTGGATGCAATTGATCACCAATTCATTCATCAGCTAGTGAGATGAGACTGCACTTTTAAGTTTAGGGTAAATACCTGAATATAGCAATTGATTAGAATAATCAAACAACTGATACCAACCCCCCTCTACTCACATGAACATGTGCACACACTCGTACACATGGATATTAACCCACTGGCGCTGGGTGTCACATACGTACATGCCATGGCTGTTGTGGACCAAACGCCAGGGGCATCATGCCATGCCCATTCCCGCGCTACTGGCTCATCGGACGGAGGTTTTCCTCCACTAGTAGCGGCTTCATTTATATGGTAAAGATTTTAGGCAATGGCACCTAAAGTGAAGGTAAACCTTCAAAATTTTAATATTTTCATAAATTTTAGAAAAATAAAAGCTTTTAGGTGCTATATGTCGCTCGCAAACTACCGATCAAGCCGGGCGCAAACAGGGGAAACTGCCAGTGCGCGCCAACAAGCCGGCGCATATGTAAACTTGACAAAATTTTTACCCGTCGCTGATGGGTTAATATACATACGCACATTCACATCCACACACATGCATGCATATTCACGCAATACATTCCCACGCACGCATGCATATTCACGCAATACATCCCCACGCATGCATGCATATTCTCGCAGTACATCCCCACGCATGCATGCATATTCTCGCAGTACATCCCCACGCATGCATGAATATTCTCGCAGTACATCCCCACGCATGCAATATTTCACGCACGCGCATATGCACCCACGCACACACGCACATTCACGGCATCCCCACGCACGCATGTACATCACGCGCTGCACCACACGCATGCACATTCACCGCTACACATGCATGCACATTCACCGCCATCCCCACGCACGCATGCACATTCAGCGCATACATTACCACGCATACACGCATGCATATTCACGCGCTACATCCCACGCACGCATGCATATTCACGCGCTACATCCCCACGCATGCATGCATATTCACGCTACATCCCACGCACGCATGCACATTCACGCACTGATCCCCACGCACGCATGCACATTCCTCAACACACATCCACCACCACCACTTGTGCATGCACATTCACGCACTGCATCCCCACGCACGCATGCACATTCACGCACTACATCCCCACGCACGCATGCACATTTCATTACTCCCACGCACCCATGCACATCACGCACTGCTTCCCCACGCACCCATGCACATTCACTCAATATACTTCCCACACACCCATGCACATTCACCAATACATCCCCACGCAATCACATTCACGCAATACATCCCACGCATCATGCACATTCGCGCAATACATCCCCACGCACCCATGCACATTCACGCAATACATCCATGAGCACCTATGCACATTCACACAATACATTCATGAGCACATAACATCACATACATGCATGCACATGTACTCACAGAATACATACGTACATTACATACATACACAAGTTTGCGCATGTGCACTCGCAGAATATATACACACATGCGCACACAGACATCAAGAAAGAACAATTCATGATTTTCTTGTGCATGTAGAGGGAGGGGTCTTAAATTGTGGAAAAGTTCAAACTTGTCGTGGCGCATTGCACAGTCTTTTGTGTTCAGTGATTTGGACAAATTTGATTTCTAGAACTAAAATTGAATATTGAGTACTGGCTGAGTTGCCATTTAGTTCTTGTTACCATATATGTATTCCTGGTCAAGAGATGTTGATATCTTTGTTGCCTATACCATGTGCAAGGCTGAATGAGTCTCTGGTTGAGTTGGAACACGTTCAATTGGAGAGTTTTACCATGTGCGTTGTAAATTGGTTTACTCTCATTTGATTTCTATTTTGCTAAATAAGATATGGATGTTGAAATTCGAGACCAAGTTTGCATATGTGGATTGTTTTTTAAGTGATGGATTTGTTTGCTACTGAGTCTTTTGTTTGAAGAACAGGACTGCTTTGTCTAGTCCTTTTATAAAGGAATAACATTCCTTTGAAAATGCCTTGATAGTTTAGTGCTGGAATATTCCTTGACAATTTATCTTGATCCACCTGAACAGTATGATAGACTAAATTGACAGCAGTGTACTTTGTTCTGTATAATTACATAATGGAGTGCTTAACCCATAGGATCTGGTTGCTTCACAGCAATCACATGGCCCACAATATGGGCATTAGACTTGTGTGAGCAGCCGCTTTGACGGATGCGCCGCTTGTAGGCTGGGGGGGACAAACTTTGGAATATGGTGACAAAACTGTCTCCCCTTTGCAATGTTATTCTATGTATAAGCATTTTTAGCATTGTTCATGCTTGCATTTTTTTTTCTCTTTCCATTTAATTTGTTTTATCCATAGACTTTTCCTTGCACAGACTTCATACCCTCTCTAGGTGGTCCATAACTCAGAGCAAGAATAAAAAGTAGCCTTTTGCCTATTATTTTACTTATTTATGATCATTATATATATATATATATAATTTTTTTTTTTTTTTTTTTTTTTTGTCAATTGTCTTAAAACTGGCCAGAAATATGATGCTGAACATGGAAAGGACATCCTCCCTGGAGGTGGCCCTCTTCCAGTAATGGCTCAGACCTTACATTTCACCTGTTTATCAATGGAAAAGCCCCTTTACAAATTGCGTCTGATCACCCTCCAAGAGGGTTGTAGACTCAGGGTGAATCTTCAGCCAAAATGCTGATGATGGCAAGTTCAGTCCACCCCAGCCCACAGCCACATTTTCCCTTAACATGTTCAAAGCTCCCACATTAAACCAATTTTTTTCATATGGTCATGACAACCAGATTGTACGGGTTAAGTGTTGGTAGTTCTCTTTGTAAGAAAGACAAGGTTCAGGATGTAAGTGTTAGCAGATTATGCAAGCATTATGAATGTCATTACTATTGCATAGGACAGTTTGATTTTTAGTTTAATTGGAGACTTTTTCCACTTGTAAGACTGTTTTTACGGATTAAAGATTTATACTTAAAAAAAAAAAAATATAATATATATTATATATATATATATATATATATATATAATATATATATATATATATATATATATATATATATATTATAATAATAAAGCCTTTAAAAAATACAATGGTGACTTCAAAAACAGACCTCTTCAATGCTTTTGTTTGGTTTTCCAAATACAAGTTAGTCACCCAGATGTATGTATGTCATTGCCTGGATTATTAAATATATTAGATGTATGTCATTGCCTGGATTATTCCCAATAGAGATGATCCTAGAAAATAAGTGATGGATCAGATACTGTAATTTTATAAATGTCCTCAGTCTGAACTACTGCAGGGAAGACGTTAGGCAAGTATTTGTAGATTATATATTGTATACCTATTTGTACATTAAGTGAAGTATTACCTTGATGTTAAGTATGGAAGGCATCTGCTTACAAAGAGAGAGAAACCAAATATGCAAGTGTAGTTCATACAAACAGAAATCCCATGTGTTTTGTGTGTTTCAGTATTATTAGGATTACAAGGTTTACAATTTTCCATTGTTCTATATTTTCTTCCAGAAAATAGCTTAATTTTGAAAATTGTGGCCTGGTCATTTGAATGTTTATATTAACAGAAGACAAGGATATCATATCTTCTAGTACTTTAAGAATGAAATAGTCTGTGCATTGGATAATATATATATAACCTTTTAATGAAAGGAACAGATTCCTATCTATAGTATTATATTCCTATTAACACTACACTACACTAGGTAACTACATATTCATCTCTTGACACATTTACCATAACTATGATTCATTTGATTAAATACTACTTATAGATTGTACACCATGGACTTTGGCATTTTTCGCAATCTAAGTGCATGCATTTACCCAGTAATAAGTAAATAACATCTGTCCTTAGAAGGTTTTCCGAACAGTATGTACTTGCACAATGTAGAAGGGGATGTGTGAAGGTCATTTTAGTATCGAATATCTACCCCCTTCAAACTGGAACTGTTTATCACACAGCTGGAGGATGGGACCGTTATTCAGACAAGGACTCGGGCAGGGACCGTTACTCCAGTGGAGGTCGGAACAGCAGAAAGCCTGGAGATTGGGACTGCCCAAGTTGCAAATTCATCAACTATGCATCGCGCACAGCTTGCTTGAAGTGCCGGATCCCAAAGGGTAAGTACTTGATATTTCTTTCTCACATTTACACTTGCGCACACCCATTTACACACTTGCACGCACACCCACACCCATTTACACACTTGCACGCACACCCACACCCATTTACACATTTACACACCATTTACACACTTGCACGCGCACCCACACCCATTTACACACTTGCACGCACACCCACACCCATTTACACACTTGCACGCGCACCCACACCCACCCATTTACACACTTGCACGCGCACCCACACCCACACCCATTTACACACTTGCACGCGCACCCACACCCACACCCATTTACACACTTGCACGCGCACCACACCCACACCATTTACACACGTGCACGCGCACCCACACCCACACCATTTACACACTGCACGCGCACCCACACATTTACACATGCACGCGCACCCACACCCATTTACACACGTGCACGCGCACCCACACCATTTACACACGTGCACGCGCACCCACACCATTTACACACGTGCACGCGCACACCCACACCCATTTACACACGTGCACGCGCACACACCCACGCCCATTTACACACTGCACGCGCACCCATTTACACACGCACGCGCACCCACCCATTTACACACCCACACCCATTTACACACGTGCACGCGCACCCACACCCACGCCCATTTACACACGTGCACGCGCACCCACACACCCATTTACACACGTGCACGCGCACCCACACCCACCCATTTACACACGTGCACGCGCACCCACACCCACGCCCATTTACACACGTGCACGCGCACCCACACCCACACCCATTTACACACGTGCACGCGCACCCACACCCACGCGTACCCACGTGCACGCGCCCATTTACCACGTGCACGCGCCCATTTACACACGTGCACGCGCACCCACACCCACGCCCATTTACACACGCACGCGCACCACACCACCCATTTACACACGTGCACGCGCGCACCCACACCACGCCCATTTACACACGTGCACGCGCACCCACACACGCCCATTTACACACGTGCACGCGCACCCACACCCACGCCCATTTACACACGTGCACGCGCCCCACACCCACGCCCATTTACACACGTGCACGCGCACCCACACCCACGCACACGCACGCACCCACACCACCCATTTACACACGTGCACGCGCACCCACGCCCATTTACACACGCGCACGCGCACCCACACCCATTTACACACGTGCACGCACCCACACCCATTTACACACCCACGCGCACCATTTACACACGTGCACGCCACACCCATTTACACACGTGCACGCGCACCCATTTACAGACACACCCATTTACACACGTGCACGCGCACCCATTTACAGACACGCCCATTTACACACGTGCACGCGCACCCATTTACAGACACGCCCATTTACACACGTGCACGCGCACCCATTTACACCCCATTACACACGTGCACGCGCACCCCATTTACACACGTGCACGCGCACCCATTTACAACACGCCCATTTACACACGTGCACGCGCACCCATTTACAGACACGCCCATTTACACACGTGCACGCGCACCCATTTACAGACACACCCATTTACACACACGTACCCATTTACACGTGCACGCGCACCCACACCCATTTACACACGTGCACGTGCACCCACACCCACACCCATTTACACACGTGCACGCGCACCCATTTACAGACACACCCACACCCACTAACGCGTGCGCAACCTTTTATCTATAGAAATTTACTTGTGTAGATTTTTCATCTAAATGTATATTGCCCACAAAGTGAATACTATGTAAATGTTATGCCGCTAACCAAATGACGCTATTAGTGCAGGTACACATACCTGTCCAATATGGGTTTTTTATTTTTTACACATACATGCTGCCAACAGCACATGCAGGACTGGATTTCATTTTTTTTTTTTTTTTTTTTTTTTTTTTTTTTTTGTTAACCCACTAATGCCAGTATATTTTGAAGCCGAAAATATTTTCTGGACGGTTACAAAATTGGTGCACGGGGCCGGCCTGGAATCTGCCCGCAACGTATTCGGAGAGCTAGCTCGGATCCAACGTCACACTGGGGGGATGCCGAGCAATGTTTATTTTTCCGGCTGTCTCATATATGGGACACCTGTCATAAATGAGTTACCTTACCAAATGTTGTTGATCAAAAAGAATTTGCACTGAAATCTAACTTATAGTTCACTAGCAGATCAGATTTGACATTCCTTTTAACTTTTTTGTAAAAAGTAAAAGTATTAGGTTTTTCAAATGATTTTATTAGTAATTTAGTTCCATGGGGATGGATGTGCTGTTGGTGTAATTACCATAAATTTGATCAGATGCCTATGGAGAAATTACAAAAAGCATAAGAAATCACTGCTTTCAAAATACTTGATTCACTCTGGATGACGTCCTATTGTATAAGCCGGGATCCCAGCAACCATGACTCAAGAGCCCTGATGTGGCCCAGTGCTGGGCAGTGCAATCTCACTTTATTAGCAAATTTTCCCATCAGTTAAGGAAAATAAAATCCTCTAAGGAATGGGTAAACGGGAGATCAGGTTGGAGAACTAATTGCCTCCGTGGTGACTAAGAGCTTGCGAACCCATGGAAGTGGAAACAATAAAATGAAACCATAATGGACAATGTATGTACCTGTTGCTGATGGTTTAACTTCAGGCTATATTTTTCTTGCACTGTATAAAGTTGTATAAAGTAGTCTTTCATGAATGTGTGATCACTTACTAATGCTACAGCTCTTGAGGTATCATGATTTAGGAAGGCATTGCTTTGATGTTATGCAACACACAATGAGAATTCTGATTTTTTGGTATTCACAGGTGTAGGGAATCTAACATGTTTCATATTAAAGAAATTTGGATGCAAATTGATGAGACCAAACCATGTTTGATCGCAGTTTTGTCATTGTTCTTGATTTTTGGGGCTTCGTAGTATTTGTTGGTGTCATTGAGCAAAATTTTTACTTAATATCCTTATTTTATCTGACAGATACAAACCTTTGTAAGTGTCTGGCCTATTAGTAATTCATTACCATTGGAAGGTTTTTGGTTACCTGATACTTTTTTCTTAGACGAAGTATGCAATACTAAGATGTCCAAGCCTTTCTTGTTAATAAAGTATTATGAACATTACCTTAGTATATTGAAGTGTAATTATATTTAGTGTCATGTGAAATTTTCGTACAATGCAGTCATTCTCTATACCTAACCCGAAGGATATATGAAAAGGGAATGGGGGATTCTTAAATTAATGTGCTTGAACTAAGCAATAGGAACAGACAAATGGGGGATGGGGATCCCTTTTTTGGTAGACAATAAATTTTCTTGTGGAAGTGCGCTGGGGGGGGAGGTGGCATATAATTGCAATATCGGGAACCTCGACAAATTCTATTTTTATTTTTGTTTATTTATTTTTATTTATTTTCCCCTCTTCCTTTTCCCTTTTTCTTTGTCTGGTAGTTATTACATTTAATTCTTTCTTTTTAAGTAAATTTCTTCATTTTCTGTTCTGTGAAAATCTTTCTAGTGTTTAAACCATAATTTTTAAGTTGAAAATGGTCAAGAGTGTGTGTATGTATACAGGTGAAAGTGAATAGGTTAGTAGATTAAAAGAAAATGACAGGCAAGTGGAAAGATAAGTACCTGTATGCAATAAGAACGTCGAAGATAATTTATTATTTATTAATTTATATCAAACTAAGTTTTAAGTGGAAGGATTTTTTTTTTTTTTTTTTTTTTTTTTTTTTTTTTCTAGTCTGGAGGGGGGCTGGAGCCAGCTTTATTACTGTTTATTTTTATTGTATAATATGGGACTCCTTTCCGACTCTGGGGGCGGAGTAGGGGGTGGGGTGGGTGGGGGGGTATTGAAGAGGAAGAGGACGTAAGTATGGATGGATAAGGAGAGAGTAGGGGAGGCGGAAAGGGAGAGTGTGGGTAGGGGATCGCCTGGAGGGTTGAGAGAAGAAAAAGGGAAAGCGGGGGAGGGGTGGGATGATGGCGAAGGAAGACGGGGCCGGTGCGCGGGGCGGAGGACTAATGGTATAGATATTGGGAATGGGCCGAGGTAACGGTAGGTAGGCTAAGATACGGGTAGAGATGAAACTGACTCTTCGACGTAAGAAATATAGGGAATAGACAAGACAGAGTTTTTGTTCCGTTTGCTCCAGAGGTAGTGACTGTTTGTATAGTGGGTGGGAGAGCGGTGTGTTTGTGTTTGGAGATGATATGAGTTGGTAGTGATTGTGTATGTTATGAGTGGTTTAGTTAATGTCATGTGAAAGGGCGGAATGTGTTGAGAGGATAAGTTAGAAGAAGTTAGGCGTGGAGAGTCTTTAGGGAGGGTTGGTGACTACAGTTAAATATTAAATGGCTAGATGAAATTTAAGGTGGAGTTTATAGTCTATTGATTTAGTTGAAGTATTTTTATTCCTTTAAGGTAAAGGATTGAAAAGTGGTATAAGCATAAGAGGAGAATGTTGTCGAGAGTCACCGATAATAGCTGGAAATAAAAAATAGAACAAAATTATAAAATGAACATAAAAAAAAAAAAAACAATAAAATACTGTCATATTGGAGTTTAAAGACCTTATCACTTTCTTACAGGAATTGAAATACTTATAGTAAACCTTGCGTGATATTCTCACACTACCTCTCTCCTTGAGTACTGATAAGAATACTCCTGACTTTATACGGTCTAACTCTCTTCCACCTTCTATATTCTCGCTGCACTTACCTGCCTCCTCCATGGTCTTAGCAAAAGGGAACATAGAAGTTAAAGAAAGCTACTGTACCTTGCATCTGCCGTCCGTCACTGCACATACCATAGGAAAGAAAGAAAGACAAGAAGTAGATTACATAAGCCGAGTCTATCCGTGCCTGGACACTTCCCTGCCTCGCGTATGCTGACGCATCTGCGGATACAGTCTAACACTCCGTCTGAAAAACGCTGCCTGTGAGAGTGAGGATCAGTTAATTCTACATAGCGCGATAGACCGATACCTACTTCTTTAGAACCAGTTTGGTATGAAGAATGAAAAGGCGTGATGTATAGGCCTTACATGTCGGCGAAAGTCTCTATTCCTTTACCAATACCGACTTGCTAATCTACTACATACCATACATTTAGGGGTCGCCGATATAGTCTACACTATCTAGTACATGTCTACACTTATAATACTGCATGGCGCTCGTGTTGGGGTTTATCTGCATATCGCTGCTCCTCCTATAACGAACTGCCTGTAATGCATTCCTCTCGCTGCAGAGATACTGCCATAACCTCTTTGGTTGTGCGGGGGTTTTCTCTGTTGTGTGTGCAGGTGGTGTCGCGGCGTGTGGGTGTTGCGTGCGGGTGTGTTATCCATCATTTAAGTCTCATATACTCACTGCCATACCTCCCTACTCTACCCTCCTTTATAGATAACTTTAATACCTCCATCACTCTACGTTTACTGACTCCGACCCTCCACTGCCTCATGAATCCATAAAATACCTGCTATACCTCTTACAAAACTACCTTATAATATATCCATTACCCTTACGAATCAACCATACCTACCACAACACAACTCTATTAGCCGTAGACTAAAACCTCTCCTCCTCTCTCACTCCCTCCATCCCTGGTTTAACATAGCTACTCTGGTACTACCATTCCATCCTCCCTCCTCCCCTCTTCCTTATCCACCTTACCATTACATGCAATCAGCGTCTCTCCCTCTTCCTCCCATATCTACCTTTCTTTCCTCCACCGATCTATACACTTGCCACCTACTCCATCATTCGCTCACGCTCCACTCCTAATCTATTCCTCTTGAGAACCTTCTACCATCTGCCACCTCTCCTCTTATCCCCACCTCCTACTAATCCTCATACCTCTACCTCTGCCACCTCTCCTCCTCCTCCCTCCTCCCTCTAACCTGCTCTCTCCTCTCCTCCTCCCTCTACTCTACCTCTGCCACCTCTCTCCTTCCTCCCTCCTCCCTCTACCTTCTACCTCCCTTCCTTACAGCATACAAGAAATGGGATAAAGTTATTTCAATTAGCTTTAATTGCTTTTAATTTAGGGAAATCCTTGAACTTTTATTGCATTTATTTTGTAAATCAAATGAAGGGATGACTAAAGCTAGCAGTAGGGTCTGACAAGCAACATAAGCACTAAATGTAGACAAATTGCAGCAGATAGTTCATTAGTTTTTTTTTTTTTTTTTTATTTTTATCTTGGCATACTTGCATCAGAATAATTTCCATTTTGATTGCACAATATGCGTGCTAAAATTTCGTAAGAGTTGGGTAAATGGTATACAACAGAGTAAGGATTTGTAGGATATATGGTACCATGGTACCTCTTGATGGCAAACAGGACTTGTTACAGGTCTCACAGAAATGCATCTCAAATATAGTTCAAATTGGCAGAAAATTTTGATATCAAATTTGAATTATTAACCCTTTGGATCCGGTTGCATCACAAAAATCACGGTGCTGAAAACCAGGGTAATGGCTTACGTAAGTGGCCACTATCCCAGGCGTGTGGCATATAGGCTGGGCATGCACAAACACCAATGAGCGATGACAAGGCTGTGCCTCCCCTTTGCAAAAGTTATTTTGTGTAAATTCTTTTGGCTTTATCACCATTTTCCAATGTCCATGTGTATTGTTTTGCTTTATCCAGATAGTAATTACTTATTTTCCTTGCGTTCGGTGGTTTACGAGTAATAGTTGGCACTTAAAACCTTTTATTTTGCTTTAATTTAAACAAATCTTATAGATATGAAGGTATACCTTCATTATTGGTGCTATTGCCTAAAATCTACTATCGGAGAAGAACAAACTCCGTCCAACGAGCCAATGGCGTTGGATTGGGAATATTGACGAGCCAATGCGTATTTGTCCCATCCATTTTTCGGTCCACAACAGCCATGGCATGTACAAACATGCCACCTGGTGGCTTAGTGGTTATATATTCAAAGGAATCTTTTGTGATAAGAGATGAAAAAAGAAGAAGATAGGGGGGTGACCTTACAAACTTATGTTGGTAAGAGATTGAAATAACTATTTTAAATTTTATTTTATTTACCTTCTCCGTTCTTATGAAATAAGGGTGAGGGAGAAAACAAGAGAGACCTTTATACTATAGTGTATACAAAGTTACAATGGAGCTAGTAATTATAATCTTAAAAATACTGTTCTATGAAATTATTTTTTTTACTATTTGCCTTTTATTTTCATATTACACGTCAGACATTGCCCATTATTTCATATACAGTTGAGTATATTTAATGTGTTGAGTGGGTGACTTCTTTTGACAATAATAGTAAGACATTGTCAACTTGTATACTTTTCATTCAATACTATCTTGGTTGTCATCTGATCTAGAACCATTTTGTACATTGAAAAGTTTTTCTCAATGAATAGCTTTGAGACTAATATCTGTAGAAGTGTGGTATACACAATTATCTAGTGTATGCATCTTGGGCATTTAGTTTGGACTTTCAGATTATGAACTTGGAGGAGGGTAAAGGAGAGTGGTAGTTTGTTGTAGTGAGCTGAGATAAAAGAGAATGACAAAGTAGGGTGTGTCCAAGGTTTTATCACCAAATTTTCAGAGTTCTTGAACAGTATCTCATTATTGGTTATTGATGATACCTCTTCACTGTAGCTTTGGATAGGGATCCACTATTCCTTTGTTAAAGAGGAATTGCACTTCTAGAAAGGTCAGGGTAGAGCACACAAGAATTAAATATTCTCTGTTGTGGTCTTAGATGTTGCAGGGGGTGACTTCTCTAGCCCTCGTGGTGGTGGTGGTGGCGGAGGCGGCAGCAGGCCTGGAGATTGGGATTGCCCAAGTTGTTCATTTAGCAACTATGCACACCGTGGTTTCTGCTACAGGTGCAAAGTCCCCAGAGGTATGTATTTAAGTGTTTGTGTTGGCCCTAGGAGCTTCAGTGAAAACCATTTGAATCCATGGTAAGAATTTTGGCCTTCTATATATATATATATATATATATATATATATATATATATATATATATATATATATATATATATATATATATATATATATATATATATATATATATATAATATATAATATAAAAAAAAAAAAATAAAATAAAATGTCATAAGATATCATTGATTGGGAGATGTAGAGATCTTGTGTTCTTTGTTCTGGGTCTTGCAGAAATATTTGGAAGAATATAGAACCGATTACTGTTAATGTTTCCAATTGTTAATTTCCTTTGGAAAAGTGTTTTCTAAGTACAAGTACACATTTGGCTTGGGAAAGGATTACATTTTTAATATATATATATACTATGCAACACTAACATTTTCCAGAGGGAGGTCGTGCTCGGCCAGGTGACTGGGAATGCAGTGACTGCAAGTTCCTGAACTTTGCTTCAAGGAGCCAGTGCATGAAGTGCTCTAGCAGGAAATGTGACTAAGCATAGAGGGCACAAAAGTAAGATTTTTAAAACTTGTTACAATATAAGTAAAAGGTCAAATAAATATTGTCTATGGTACAGAAGAGTTTTTGCATTACACAAATTTTACTTGGTATAATTAAAAGATAACTGAATGAGTATTTTAATTTACTGTAATTAGTTCTTATTATTCTTATTTCAGGATATGCACTCCTTAATATTGCTGAGAGATTCCCCTTCACCAAGAGACCAACCTATGTTCACAAGGCAGATGCTCGCCACCAAACCCAAATAATTGAAAAGCAATCCATTCATCATGTGTGATTTGAAAAGAAATTTTAAATTGCATCAATTTCACTATTTGAATACCCAATTAAAGTTTTGCTAGGATTGCTCAAAAGTGTGGTATTACAGATCTCTTTTTTGCTCAATATTCATGATTACAGTGTGGGTCTAGAGTTGAATTTCTTAGCTAGTCATTGTTAACAGAGTTGATAGTTATCTTATCGATGCTTGAGATCTTGAGATCAACTAGTGATTTACGCTCTACTCCCAACCACAGAGGAAACATGATAATCATGCATTTTGAGATGATTAAGGTCGATATATACACTGCCAGACACTTCCCCTTCCCATCCCTCTTTGTGCTACAAAGCATATAGGAAAGAGGAACATGTAAATTTAATTTCTCCTCCTACCCCAGCACCTCCCTCCCTCCCTCCCTCCCTCCCTCCCTTGTTTTAGATATCAAAGAATGTGTAGTTTTGGTTGGTATGATCTACAAGCTAGTTTTTGTTATTTTCTATTTTCATTTTTATTTTTTTCACATGTACAAGGAATGGTTTCTAACTTGTTTGTATTCTTAATTAAAAAACAAAAAACAAAAAAAAAGGGCAAATACTGGACATGAAACCTGAGGTGCATAGGAGTCCTTTGTCATTTAGGTTAATAGGTTACGAGTTGTATAGTGTAAATTAACCATTGAATGGACAAGAACTCCATATGCAAAAATAGGGTCCACTTAAACTATGAACTGTTTAATGTCCAGTATGTTAACTTCAAAGGAGTTAAATTTTAAATTGCTCCATTTCTTTCTTTTTTTCCAACTTCAAAATATGATTACTTAAGTTTCCTATGTACTTGCTTTTGATTAATGTAATATAGGTTAACAATCATGTGTGTTTTAAATGATTCATTATCTTGCTGGAAGGCTCTTCTTGATGCTGTACCTGATAACCCAAGAAAAGCATATAAAGGATTTATTTTAGTATATAGATTTGTATCCCAACAGTGTGAAGTGTGTCAGTGGTCACAATTGTCATTAACATTTAAAGAAGATATTCACTTTTTTTTTTTATTTTCATTTTCATTTCGATAAGTGGCTGATATAATAGTGTGATTGCTTGATTTATTAAAGTATCAATGATTACCAGTTTTTCTTTACAATTCATAAAAAAGTCTTTAAAATGATGAAAAAATTGAAATAGATATTTTATAAGAGACAGTAGCAGGTTAGAATTTTGTAAGTCAGGGAGACAAACCATAATGGTTAGCTATTTGGTATAGGTGAAGTGAGTAATGAAGATAATAAATTTCAAGCAAGCAGTTATGTTAGTATGAAACCCTTTTTTCCACCAATAACTTTTGGGGGATATGAATGATGAAGTGTCTTCCGTATAGCGTAACATTCATCGTTGTTCCTCACCCTTTAATTTTGTATTGAGAAGACCATATGGTTACTTGGCTGTGATGAAGTTGGCATTCCCAGACTTGTGTGCATGTCAAGATATACACCAGTGAGAAGGAATTTCATGAAATATTAGCGTGTTCTTTCATTTATCCTTTTTGGTGTGAAATTTTCAAATTGACAAGGCTTATCAACTGCTTTGAGTAACCATACTTTTGGTTGGTGTTATGAATAGCAATTTAACTTGCTGTTATGGAAAATGCTGCTCGATTTTAGTCCTGGAATGTAGTGTAGATTTTTTTCTCCCATCCACAATTAGGCATGCCAAATGGGTAATACCCTCAATGGATAACTTTTACAGTAACCTACGACTTGGTAAAAATGATGCTGTGGTTAGTTACCATGTTTGACAGTAAGTGGTGTGTGTGTGTGTGTATGGTATAGCTTATGTCGGGAGTTTCAACCATGCAGACTTGCTCAGAAATAGTTTATTATTGCTGCTGCCCATCAAGTATACCTTATGTTGTTGAGGTTTAATGTTAGTATTTAACATTTAAAGATGCACACATGCAAGACAATCTTTCACTCGATAACAATTTAAGAAAAGGGATAGAATATTCATGTTGAAATATCCAAAAATGATCCAATCTGAAAAAAAAAATATCTGATACAGAAATGAGTCCAATGTGCCTCCTTATTTTTTGCGATATATGAAATTCAACTACAGCCAACCATATGGGATTATTCATCAAGTTTGCCCCATCCCCTAATACTTTGCTCGTCGCTTGGGTGGGGATTACGAGACTGGGACGGGCCCAATGCTGGGGATACTACTCTAGATAGTTAACAACTATCACCTGACATCCCCCTTTACTATACCTTCCTATAGTGCTATATGACCTTAGATGTCTAGCACATTTATTTTAACCATTAACTAATGTAGGGGATAACCCCTGCACTGGACCTCAGCCCCGCGCCTGCTCAACTAATTTTTTGCCCCCCCCCCCCCCCCCAATCCCTTGCCCGTTTGTTGTGGGGGGCTTAGGAGACGAAGACTGAGACCCAATACAGGGATCTCCCCTGCCTAGGGCCTCAGCCTTCAACTCAACTAATTTTGCATGGTCTTTTTTCTCTTTAGCTTTTGTTTCCGTCTCTTCTCCATCCCCTTCTGCTATCTACTTCCTAAGGGTGTGAGAGCCGTGAGCTGAAGAGGATGAAAAGTGCTGACCTAATGCCAGTCCTGAACTGGCCTGCGGAACTATGGGACACGGTATCACTGACTAATCTAGCCCTTACCTTCAGTAGCGAAAGGAGGTGGACCGAAATAGGCCTATTTACATAATCCAGGTTCCCCATGACCAGTATATAAAAAAGTAAATCCCCTTTATTAGAAGCTATGAGGCTAGCCCCAACCCAGGCTCTCCTTTGATCACGGCTCCGAACACAAACTACTGCCCACTCCTCAATGCCTACTAGTGCATTACCCACCCAAGCAGAGAATCAATCTCCAGAAGACATTCCTACCCACCCAACTTCCTCAAATTCAACTCCACCCCTGCAACCTTCATCAAACAAACCAAATCCTCCCTTATACTACCTTGCAACCTTATTCTCCATCATTCCGTAATACTCCTCTTCCACACGTCCCGACCATCCACCACCACCAACCCTACAGATACTTAAATACTCTTTCTTAGCCCAGCTAAATGGGACCCGATTTTTTCGTGATCCCTGCTACAGCTCCTTACTCAGGCAACACTCTTCTCTTCAACAATGCTCCAAAAAAAACACAGTAGGTAGAGTCCCTTTCTATACCAGACGCGATTCGCTCCCGTAGTTGGAGGTAACAGCTCAGATCAGAAACAGAATCCTATAGCACTGGTTCAAATGGTTAAAACTGGATTCATAATCTGCAACCCGACAATTTCGCGTGCAGAATCTCTCAATTCCAACCACCTTAATATGAGTAGACCAGAAGAACAACTCATCTCTCTCCCTCCGCCAGCATAATAAGTGCGATGCACCAGTAGTCGATAGCGCATACAAATATATGGTACAGACTGTGGAACAGAAATGTGACTTCCTTTTAATTATGTGATGTCTCTCTAAAGACCAAAGATTGATATATCTCTTGGTATATTGCTATTACATCCATTCCTCCTAAAAGGTCTAACGAAAGGAATCCCGACTCATACATATTGCCGCTAATAAGACTTTACATATGCTGTTACACTTCTACATTATGATCCCATCCCTCTCTATCGATATCTTTATCTGCATCTCCGTCATGGAGACACACTCCCTCCCTCTTCGTTTACGACGTTCATACCAACCCCTCTCGCAGTAGTCCCGTCTCCTATATTTGTCCAACTACTCTATACTTGATCTCGTATCCTCGTTTAATTGTTCTGTTACATTATCCTGCCCATATATCATCGCGCTCTTTTATCGTTTCCCCCACCCCAGTCTACTCCCCTGCTCATGCCCCATATGTGCCCAACCGGTCAATAGCGTTCCCCCCGATCAAACTGCCTCCAGGCTCACATACATCACGATACATTGTCCAACTGCGGTCATGTCCCTCTGGGCCCTCCCACCACCCATAATCGCTACATTCTATCAGAGCCCGTGGTCCAGCCCTTACTAAAGGTCGATGTGTGAATCCTATTGTCTCTTGGGCGGCTCTCTCTGTCTGACTTATCCGCTCTTCTACTCTCCTTGTCTTCTTTTCTGCTGCTGAGGCCACTCTACTCAGCATTACCACTCAATCATCACATATCTGCGTGCTCTCTACTACTCTCACCGTGTATAGCACAGTCTCAAATCTCTCTCTCTCTAGATCACAACTCGGAAGTCACTCCCGTCCTCACTCACAAATTGTTTCCTCCCCTTATAGCTCCTCTACTCTCTTCTTCTTCTCACAACATCCCTGCTCACTTTTCCCTTCAAGACCTGTCTCCTCCTCCTCTCTTCTCACTCACAAATATCATGGCTACCTCCTCATTTTCACACCCTTCTCTTCATCTATTCTCAATATTCTCCGCGCATGGACCCTCAATTTCCCTCTCCTTTTGCTCCCATCTCTTCTCTCTCTCTCTCTCTCTCTCTTCTCTCCTACAATCCTCCTTAAACCTCGATACCATCCCCTCCTCACATTCTCATACTCTCCTACCTACGTCCTTCTCATCTACCGACCACGCGGACGCACTACCCGCCTCTTCACCCTATCTGCAGCCGGGCATCTACCCCGTCACGAGCTATACAGTAAGAACTAAGAGCGTGTGCGCAGTAACCTTCTTTCTACCCCTATCCCACCCAGCACGAATGCGCACGACTCCAAGGCGTTGCCTCAACCGTGTATAGCCTTTTTGTGTTCCTGGCCTCTTATATACAACTCACACCATTGGTCTCCTCTCTTCCCCGCCCCTATCTCTATATGTAAAGAAACCGCCATGATTGTATAATATGACTACGCTAGAAACACTATATCAATGACACGACAAGACAAAACATATGACCACAATAGTCCAGCACTGCAAAACAATCATGAAGGGACAGATATGACATTGCCAAGCGTATATTGCTGAGGAACCACGCACAAGATCTCCACAACTGCATGCTACAACCAACAGCGATAAGAAGTTAAAGTCGGAGTAATAGACCACGAGGAGTGAGATTCCAAAAAAAATGAAATGTAGACGCAACTCAGTGGCGCAGAACAAGAAGGCACATAGTAATATATACCCCCTACACCCCCCTCAGCCTCCCTACTACCCTCCACCAAAAACCAACCTAAACCCTCCACATCGATCATCAATCCCTGAACCACCCACTGATATCACCACTCTCCGCGCTAAGCTAAACCTACCGCAACCCATATTAGTGTACACGTTAGACCGCCCACAAAGACACGCAGCCAATATATCACCTAATACCTCTTCCAAACACCACCTCCTTTTATGTCCCATCCTCCCCTCTACTCCTCCTACTTCCTTCACCAGCCCACCACCCTACACCACTCCCTCTCCACTCCTAAGTCCCTCCCCAAGCCACATCTCCCCTTCAACCAACTCCAAGCCCTTATTCCTCTTCCCCGTACCTATTCCACTCCCCTTCCCTCTCTCCTTAACCACTCTTCAACACTTCCCATCTCTTCTCCTCCCACACACATCTTGCACTCTCCCTCCATTACCTTACACCACCCTTACCCCCTTCCAACTCCGCAACTATCCCAGCGAATCCCATCTCCTCCCCTCCCCATCTCATCCCCCCCATTCCCTCTCATCTCTCTTTGAGCCCACTCCCACCCTTCCGCCCGGAATATCAACACCCGAGAATCCACTCCTATACGGTCCCACACAACAATCCGCTCATCCCCCTATACCATTCCTCCCACCTTCCGATCATATGGCCTCTCTCCCATTCTTCACATCCCTCCAGCGCCTCCCCCTTCCTCAACACACATATACTCATCCCACATCTCTCCTACTGCGCCGTTATCCTTCTCGTACTCTACTGTATCTGAGCTATAGCTCTCCCCTCTACCTATTTGGAATATCCCCTCCTGCTTCTCTTCATCTA